CGCAAAGCAGCCGCGCTCTGGCCGGGGAGGCCTCCGGGGTGGCGCCGCCGCTCCGAGGTGGTCGATTGAGCTTTGCGCAGTGCGACCTGCGGTGGCCGACTGTCGTTCTCGCACTCGCGCCGCACCGACGCTCGTCCCCATGGCGCGCCTCGCACTCGCCCTGGTCGCCGCGAGCCATGCCTTCACGGCGCCGGCGCGCCGCGTCGTCGCGCCCGCGCGGCGGCGGTCGCCGGCGGCTCTCCGCGCGGCGCCGGCGATGGTCGCCGAGCCCCTGGTGTCGCAGCTCGCGTCGAGCTCCGTGCTCCTTTCCGAGCTCGTCGAGTCGACGCCCGTGGACAAGAGCGGCTGGTTCGGCGCCATCGTTCAGGCCCTGGAGTCGCGCGTCGGCCGGCGCCCTTTTTTTTCGAGCGCGGACCGCGGGCCCCGAGCGACGAACTCCCGTAGGTGCATCACGCTGATCCACGGCGTCGTCGGGAGCTACGGCGTCGCCATCGTGCTCTTCACGCTGCTCCTCAAGGCCGTGACCTTCCCCCTCAACTACCAGCAGATCGAGTCGACGACGAAGATGCAAGCTTTGCAGCCGGCGATCAAGCGCATCCAGGCCAAGTACGCGGCGGACCCGCAGCAGATGAACATCATGATGGCCGAGCTCTACCAGGAGAACGAGCTCAACCCGCTGGCCGGGTGCCTGCCCGCCTTGGTGCAGATTCCCATCTTCATCGCGCTCTACCGGTCGCTCCTGTCCCTGGCCAAGGAGGACCTCCTCGAGGAGTCCTTCCTCTGGATCCCGAACCTCGAGGGCCCCGTCTACGGCGCCCAGAACGCGGACTGGCTCTTCAAGTTCGACCAGTGGAACGGCGCGATTCCGCCGCTGGGCTGGCACGACACGGTCGCGTACCTCGCGCTCCCCTGCCTCCTCGTCGTCGCCCAGAGCGCGTCGACGACGCTCCTCCAGCCGCCGGCGGACCCGAACAACGAGGCGGCGCAGACGTCGAACCAGGTGCTCAAGTACCTGCCGCTCATGGTCGGCTTCTTCAGCCTCAACGTGCCCGCGGGCCTGACCATCTACTGGTTCTGCAACAACATCATCACGACGGCGTCGACGCTCTACATCCGCCAGACGGTCATGGCCGAGCAGCCCGTGACCATGGGCGGCGCGTCGGTGGCCGC